CTGAGCATTTCGCCGCCGTAGCCAAGGCCAAGGCTCACGGAGGCTATGGTGACCACTACAGTGGCAGATACGCCTCAGACTACGGTGCCGACCATGGACACTCCCATCATGTGGCGCCTTACCACGGATCCCTAGCCAAGCCCGTGGTGCTCAAGTCCGGATACCTGGCAGACACTCACGAGGTCGCTGCTGCCAGGGAACATCATCTGCAGACTTTGCACCAACATGGACACTATAACTGAATTAAATATTAATGTCAACTGAAATAAATTATCAACCTCACCAAATAAATGTTTTATGTATACTAACTACCTTGTAAAAATATAATTAAAAAAAAATAAATATACACAAAAACATTCTGTACCGACAATTTGAGATCTATTCGCGTTTTTACTTCATAAATTATGAATACACATTCTTAAATGATGACACAAATGATTAATATTATTAGATTATTTGATTGCATTAATGTTTGCTACATCTGAACATTTTCCATAGAATCCTCTGTAACGGGTTTTTTTTGTATTGCTAGTAAAAATTGCCTTTCTATGACGTTTCCTCTATGTGTCCTGTTCAAAATGAATACTGGCCATTATATCAATTTGATCATTGATGGACAACACAAATACAATAGGCCTATGTTATATTTAAATACTACATCATCTAGATCCAATTTCAGTGGATTAAAAAATTAAGTATAAATTTGAAACTAAATACAACAAATTCTGGCCTATCACTAAAAATGTTTAAATGTAATTAAAAATGCGTACAAAGTATAACATTTACAGTTTAAAATCTTGTACTTTACATTAGCTAACACAAATGAACAGGGTAACGAAGGTCTAGAATGAAAATAAGGCATTGTCATACTTAATTACAGTAATAAATATTTAGAAAAATATTTAAACAAGCCTATTGAATTACATACTGCACAGTTATATTAAAAATTATCAAATTTAGGGCTTGTTTAAGAATGCTTGGAAAAGTGATCTGATATTACGATTTACATTTTTTTTTAGGAATTGAACAATCGATTTAAAACTTTCAAAAGAGTTATTTTCGGAATAGTTCAGTCCAGAAAATCGAGTATAAACACTGTGACAGCAAACAATAAAATGACCTCGTATTGTATTGAGGGACATTGAATGACATATTTGCCATAGCTAATAGGTAATGTTATTAATATTATCATAATAGACACATTATAATATCATGGTTTGAAACTTCTAGTTTACTTATAATACTACACTAAATAATGGGATAAAATACAGTACTTGGAGTTCATTTAGGTAAGCAAGGTTAAGATTAATTTGGTTAAAGCCTGAATTAGTTTATTAAATTCAATAAATCTGTATTTCGAATAGTAAAAATCTGAATTTCTTTATACGCAATACTCTGACATCTGTACACATTGTTGATTACAAATACATTTTGGAAATCTACCCAATACCCTTAGGGCTATTTCATATCCCGCAGTTTTTAAGGTGAGTAAAAGAAATTAGTTTTAAATATGAAAAAATAAATTTAATAATTAGTATTACCATTTTACAAAGTGTGCTTGTTGCCCTCTTGAATGATAAACTAATTTGCTGGTTTCCTGGTTTCTGGATATATTTTACATTTCTGTTTATTTATTGCGGTCTTTCAAAATTTGGCCAAAGCAGACGCTTTGTACTTAAAGCAACCAGTTTGAATAGTTTGAATGATAAAAAAAAACATTAGGGCAGTTAGAAGTTTATAGTATTGTTTTTACGGGGGTATTTAAATTTTTTTGTCATGATCAGAAATCTATTCTTAAAAACTTTACGAACAATGTTCGCTTGAATGGCTGTTCGCCGGCGAACGTTCGGGGAGCGACGGTGGGGGTAGTGCGTCGCAATTTTTTCATCCAAAATGTTCGCTCTACGAGCGAACTTTTGTCCAGTTCGGAGAGAGCAGCCCTTTGTGTTGTAGCCCCTAGCAGCGTGTTCGTATTTCTTTGCGTTAAAAGTAAAAGTGTGTGTGGTGTTAGTGTTTGTGTACCGTAGTGATTCTGTGTGGTTTTAAAATGAATAAATACCACTTCTGGGTCCCACCTCAAGGTAACTGTTAATCTATCTTCCATACTACTGTAACACGAACAAACGTATTCTGTTTTGAAATTTTCAGGACCTAATGTTACCAGCAATTCAAAATGAGTGTTCGACATCTGAGTAAAGTTGGAAAACAGGCAACCAGCAAGTCCGTTCTGAAGTGCTGCTCACTATATTCGTATCGTAATGTTTAAAACAGTCTGTGCCATTACCTACGATGCCGTAAAAAAAAACCAGTACACGCAAGTAAATTCCGAAGCCTACGCGCATCCATATTCATTTAAAAACCTAAATATTGAGTTGAGAGCGTACATGGAACATCACATTGTTTGTCTAACAGCTTTTAGCGAACATTTCATTCTAGTTTAGCGTACAAATGTTCAACGAACATGTGCGTTGAGAATGTCTGCCAAGTGTCGAGTTGAGAATTGCAGCTATCATTGAGAAATTACATCCGTAGTATATTATTTCAACATAAAACTGTAATCTAAAAATTGTATTAATCTGTATTACCTGACAGTAAAACCCCTCGCTTTTAATGTTAAATATTTATGGTATAGTAATACAATTACCTCGTCACAGCTCTGAAGTTTGTGACGAGGTAACTGTATTATTATGTTATAGTCATCAATTCAGTTCAGGGGCCAAATCATGTATGTGTTAAATATTTAAGTTTTCTACGAACACCTCATAGGAAATGTTAAAGTGAAGGTTGTCAGTGAGGCCCGTAAAATCAGGTCGTTAGATGTGACCAGATTTATCTTTAAACTATTCAAAGGACACGTTCCCTTCCCCCGGAGAAGTTTACATTTCGCAACTTGACCCTCTGCCTCCATGTTGCAATTTGAACCTTTTCAGCCAATCTACTTGGATCCGTAGTATAATGGACGTCACTCAGTATGTATAATACGCAGCTGAATGGTTGGGAAACTGCCCTTAGCCCTTGGCCAAATACGCTCCAACATTGCCCCATCAGTCCATGTATAGCTAGGGAAGGGTTCGTGACAGTTTAAATTAAGGGTTTGTTGATCAACTCTTTTGTGGAAAGTTAAGTTGCTATTTTTAAGTACATCATTCCATCCCCTATGTTAAATTTGTAGCCAGTTTTTTTAACCAAAATTGTAGTTTATGTGAGCCACCGACAGATTGTGCTGATCTAAATTACTGATTTCTGTCGAATACACAATTTGTTTTACCATTTCAAACTAATGGAATGATTTATTGTGAATTATAGCAACTCTTTATGATGAACTCTTTAGCCACCAACTTGGCTAGCAACAAAAGGTAAGGTAGAAAATAGGGTTTTAGTCACTAGTGCATTCTGTGACTTCCTCACACAACTACTTTATTGTAAAACAAAAATTGGCTACAGCTGTTCCATATAGAGGGGATATCTACTTCAGTATCCAATAGTCAATGGTACAGCTTTCACAACACGGTTGAAAATAAGGATGTACAATATGTCAAAAGTTTATGTTCTGTGTCAGAACTTAATTTTAACTTTATACAGTATATGCATGACTAATCTAGAAAGGAAAGATTTTATATGAAGATATTTTAAAACGAAATTCGCTTAACGTCACTTTTACAAGACTGAAAAACTAAATGGAACTAAAACACCTATTTCAATTCCTCCCTTCGTACTACATTTTTATAAAGCGAAGGAGAATTTAACGTAATAACTGTTTGGCTGACAATTATTTTAGATCCTTAGCAAAAAATGCATTCATCAAGAATTTAATTGTTAGGTTACAGGCCTAATCGGATCATAAATAGAATCTATTTATAATTTTAGTCGAGTAAATTATTGTTTTATCCAAAAGTAATAAACGATTAGTTCCCTTATAGTTAGTTATTCGTTAATTCAAGAATTTTAGGGCAATTTTTGTTATTTTTTTTAAACCATAGTGCATTCTATAAATTGGCCGATGATAAGTTTTAAGTAGTGCGTACTGATGGAACATAATCATTTAGAGGAGTGGCAAGTACAACACTCGCCTTATCATTTGCTGACAGAACTTTGCTTAAGGTATCTTTTACATTATACTAAAATGACAACAGTTCTGGTGTTGTCATTTTAGTAAGCAAAGCAAACCAGTATAACACATCACAAACTAACAGTATTTATTGTATAGCCTATGTTTGCTGCCTTTAGCAGAGTTAAACCTCTAGGATGATTCTAATTATTGATTGAAATAACCTAACCTAAGTTAAAAAACAAAAGCAAACAAAGAGGCTGTCTTTTCACAAAAGATACGGTGTACAGCGATAAAAATCGTGACACATGCTGTAGGTAATTTGATTCTAAATTTGTTTAAATATTAAAAGAATTTGTTTTACATTTGACCTGTTTAGGGTCTTATGTCCATAGTGTTGATGGGGTTTAGCATGAAATGCAATTAATAATTTAATAAAAACACACGTATGAAGCTGTAGTGTAATTTCAAAAAGTAATGATCCACAAAGGTTTACCAACGTGCAATATTGTGTTTTGAACCCCGCAACGTCAAGCACTCGACTACTCGTTATAGTGGTAACAACGAGTTTGATTTAATTAAATGACTAATTAATATAGTTTGAAGTGGAAGGATTCAAATGTTGCCGGTACTTATGGGGGATTGTTATTTCGAGCACTAGTTGGAAGAGAGCGCTTCCAAATTAATTACGCGACCAAAAACTAACTCCCGTCGATAATTCAGAGCGACAAAGAACCGATAAATGATAAAATGCCGGTGCGAATGAAAGCAACAATAAAACACTGCCGAATATATAACGAGCGGGGTTTAATTAGATGTATTAATAGAAAGGGAACATCGGTAGGTAGGAGTGAGGAGTGGTTAGTGGAGGGGGGACGACCCCTACTTCACTTCCCCTCCGTGCGTGGCGTGAAGACGCGGTCCCCTCTACCGCCGTCCGTCCCGCCGTGCCGTGGCGCGCGCCAGTCGTACACTGAAAGGGAAAGCGACTGCAGCGCCCTGTCCGGCTACTTGCGTTATTTACACTTTTCATTTCATTCTTCGATCGCGGTTTCCGCAATACTGAGGCACCAAAATGTGTTCACGCTCGTGTTTAGATGTAGTTTTAGTCGTATCGTAATCGAAATATTGTAAATTTTACTTTACTTCCGAAAAAGTTTTAAACTTCGCGTTCGGAGTTTCGTACACAGAGTACAAAAGACTCAGGTTTTATCGGCGATGGCTCCACGAAGACACAACAACAACGGTCTGATGGTCGAGGGCGTGGTGGACCCGGAGACTATCGAGAACCACAACCCCAACGTGACGGCGTGCTGCGTCCCCAGCGGCGAGTGTCTGCGGAACTACACACCCATCTGTCTGGACGATCTGCGAGAGACTGTGAGAGTGACCTGCAACAACGACCACTGCACGGCGGGCAGGTACATGCACAGGGAGTGCTTCGACAACTGGGAGCAGACGGTGCTGACGTACCTCAAGAGCTGCGGCAGAGCCAGGTCCTGGTCGGAGCGGCAACGGCACCAGAACCTCTGGACCAAGAAAGGCTACGATCTGGCGTTCAAGGCGTGCAGCTGCAAGTGCGGTCGTGGACATCTGAAGAAGGACCTGGACTGGGTACCGCCGCCACCGGGGTTCGGCGCCAGGGAGGACGACGCCATCAACAAGAAGAAGAAACGTCGTCCCAAGAACACACGGCCGACCCTAGCTGTCTCCGCACACCACAACACCACATCCCAGACCATCGATACGTTGAGGGCTCGCGCAGGGAGTCTGTCGTCCAGCAACGAGTCTGCCTCACCGCCGGGCTCTGCCTCCAGCGTGTCCCCCGTCCACAACAACACCAAGAAGAAGTCCAAGTTCGTCGAGTTCTTCTCAGACAGGTAACTCATCAGACAGTAACAGTAGCCTATATTTGTTTACATAGTACAGTAGAGTGTAGCTGCAGCACGTTGTCGCGGCGTCGGCGGCACCGCTGCACGATGTTGACTGTGGTCAGGCGTCAGACACTGTTTGTTATGGTTATGACCCGCCTCTCGCACCGCGCCGACAAACACAATTGCGTCTCACTTCTCAATTCTTTCAGTTCTAGAATACGCGCCATTTTTCAGTTAACTCATTTTATGTTTGTTGTTTATTGAACATAGCCTACATTATGTAAAACATTCCTTATCATATTAAAAACCTATTTTCGCAAAACGTAAGTCACGAGTAAAACTTAATTATTATCAATCTTTTAGACCACATCACATTAAATGTTTACCTAGTTCATAGATAATTCCGTTTGATGAGATTGTTTACAAACTTGCCGACACTAATTACGTTAACAGGTTGTTTCCTGAAGAAAATATCTTGAAATAGAATAAATATCAACAAGAAGGTTTTTGAAGTGCAAGTGATAAATATACTGTACTGAGAATTTATGTCAAGTGAATATTTTTGCATTAGCCTATTTATCGGTTTACATCAATGGTTTGCAAATACCAGAGTGTTGCCTGTAATACCGTAGGCTATATAGTTATAATACATGTAAAGCCTATAAGAATATGTTTGACGTGATGGGTTACCATAGATATATAGAGAGAGTAGATGTATGAGAGCAGTGGAATGGTAGAGTAGACGTGGGTTTAGACACGTAGACCTCGGCCACACGCCAGCTGGCCCAGGGCTCGCTGGGACAACTGGCAGCCTGCAGTCCCGGTGTAGTGACCTACTTGGATATTTAACACCACACTACCTAGAGATATACATAACACCAACACTATCGCCTTAGAGGCATACGTCGTACACATACATTAGTGGACAAGCTGGTAATGTACCATTCAGCTAGTACTGGTAATGTTAATGCACCTGGTGTACCATTGATTACCGTTTTCACAACTGTTCTGACTCATACGACTGTGTGGCGGTGCATTGAAGGTCACGGGCAAACGAAGAAGTAAGATAAAACGTTACATCTTTATCTTTGGTTTTATTATGTGACACTACTTTACATAGGCCTATTTGTCATCAATATATTGATACGAGAATTATCACAGTATATTCACAAAAAAACTAGTGGTTCTTATAATTACTATATTTATTTTTCTTAACTAATTTTTTCATAGTACGGCCTATCTGCGTTCTTCGTATTAAATCCTTCCTTTCAGAAGAGCGATTTGTCGTTGATATCTCACATTCGTAGATATTCATAATTAGCAGGATTTGCACACGTTCGCATATTGTAGTAGTTTTTGTCAACAAATGGTTTGCAAAACTTTTAACTCCGTTGGTAACTGATATTTAAAATATTTTTTTTTAATTTGTTTTTAAAATAAGTTATTACCCTTACACTCAGAGATAATGTCTTATGCCAAAAGTTACAATTATTCTGCAGTATTTAACGAATTTACCAATCAATTAATAGTAATATGTTTAACATGATTATTGATGCATTACCAACGAAATATTACCAATACAGGAGTCTAACGGTAAAAACAGTTAGATTCATTATCCTCTAATCTTATCCGGATAGTTGACAGGATGCGTTGTTTTCAACCTGGACAGGTGATGCGCTTGAGTCAGTTTTTATTTATTATGTAAATACGTCTAATTTGGAACCAGCGCGTGTTGATTGTTGATTACCTACGAAAAGTCCCTTCCGCTACGCACACACATGCTATTGTGTGTGTCTGTGTGAATGTGTACATGCCTATCATGTACCTATCTCGACAAGCATGTCGTGAATGCTCATTTTGTATATTTAATTAGGTTACACTTATTAAACCCCTCGGAAAACTAATTTACCATCATTAATTATGTTAAATGGAATTTTGTATGCATTAACAACTATTTCCCCGTTAATTACCGTAAAAAACCAAGACCAGTAGAGGCATAATTGTACAATTAACGCTTAAGAAAGTAGTAAGTATTAATTTGATGGTTAAATTTCATTTTAAGTCAGCTTATTTTGAATAATTTAATATCTTATTGAATTTCATTTTGTAGGGAAAACAATGGAAAATTATTTGTTCAGATTTTTACGTATGGGCTACCGTGTATTGCGATGTTGGCAAACATTTTTATTTTTTTATAGGTTGCTAAAATTGGTTTAGTATTCAGCAATGTATTATAATAATAAAAAATGAGACTCAACATGAAAACCTACAGGTCTTCTATTAGTAATTATACCCGTAATAGAAAACATACTACTGGTAATACGTAGGCCTACGTTTCGTAGAAAGGTAGAAACTGCAGGTTCAGTGTAGAGAAGGCACGTTCAAGGTCTACAGTAATCTCTAGTTGCATCATAGGTTGTTGTCCTGCCTTTCTCTTACTACTGTTGCTGTATCCACATCTACGCTACACTACACTGTAGATGTACAGTGGTAGAAACTGCAGGTCAGTATTGCAGTTCAGTGTAGAGAGAAGGCATGTTCAAGGTCTACAGTAATCTCTAGTTGCATCACAGGTTGTTGTCCTGCCTTTCTCTTACTACTGTTGCTGTATCCACATCTACGCTACACTACACTGTAGATGTACAGTGGTAGAAACTGCAGGTCAGTATTGCAGTTCAGTGTAGAGAGAAGGCACGTTCAAGGTCTACAGTAATCTCTAGTTGCATCATAGGTTGTTGTCCTGCCTTTCTCTTACTACTGTTGCTGTATCCACATCTATGCTACACTACACTGTAGATGTACAGTGGTAGAAACTGCAGGTCAGTATTGCAGTTCAGTGTAGAGAGAAGGCATGTTCAAGGTCTACAGTAATCTCTAGTTGCATCACAGGTTGTTGTCCTGCCTTTCTCATAACTGTTGCTGTATCCACATCTATGCTACACTACACTGTAGATGTACAGAGGTAGAAACTGCAGGTCAGTATTGCAGTTCAGTGTAGAGAAGGCACGTTCAAGGTCTACAGTAATCTCTAGTTGCATCATAGGTTGTTGTCCTGCCTTTCTCTTACTACTGTTGCTGTATCCACATCTATGCTACACTACACTGTAGATGTACAGAGGTAGAAACTGCAGGTCAGTATTGCAGTTTAGTGTAGAGAGAAGGCACGTTCAAGGTCTACAGTAATCTCTAGTTGCATCATAGGTTGTTGTCCTGCCTTTCTCTTACTACTGTTGCTGTATCCACTATCCACATCTACACTATATTAAACTATATGTCTACTATACATTACAATAACTAATTATGCTGACTTTATTTAGCATTTTTGCGTATCTACTTAAACTTAACAATCCACATTGAACAGCTGATCACTGAGAAGCTCAACTCGACTAGTCTACTCCAATCAAAGTTGAAGCGTGTTTCATGTTGGTTGTCAATGTTTCTGACAATCGCATACATGTTAGAGATACGTAGTTGTGTTCATACATGTTAATACATCTTTGTGTTGATTCTACATTTAATAAAATTCTACACCTAATATTATTAACATACGTTAAAGATTTGATTTAGGTTTAGTCAACAAAAGATATTTCGCGTAAAAAAATAAGCATATATGATTTGCATCTCGGTTATCAAAGTTCTTTTTTAATTATCTTTTCCTGTACGCTGAACTATTCTTACTTATTAAGACCTCAAACATTTTGTTTAATTTTAATAAATTTAGTCATAATTTGTTCATTGGCTATCGACCTTGCATTTGTCGTGTAAAACTTAGTTAATTATCATAGTTCACGAGATATATCAGTACACAGTAACGTTTTACATTAACTTTTATCTACCCTAGTTTATTTGCTTATTTATTTAATGCAACGTCAACAATGCCTTCAGTATATTATGATAGTATTGTTCACTTTGATTTCTGGGTATTCTAAACAATCTGGTATCTGACATCCTCTTCATTCACATTCTCTACAATGTAATATCTATTTATTCAGCGTTTTCCCTGTGTCCCTACCATCTGCCGTATTGATCTCGGCCCGTAGCTGTGATGGGGTGCTCCGGCTCCCTTCGCCCTACAGGCCCTACGTTCTACGCCCTACCCCAGGTCAGGCCCTACAAACTTTCCTCGTTTTCGCCTTGTTTGATGTAAAAGTTTCGTCTTTGAGTGTTATTACCTCGACTTTATCTGATCAAATCAAACAGCGATGGGAGACTCCCTCAGTGGGGAGTTATTGGCAATCTTTTGTCACGAATTAGAAGTTTATACTTCTGTTGGGATTTTTTCTGGGTTTGCAATAGCCATTGGTTTGTTAAATTAATAAAAATAATATAATATTTACTCGTACGTATATGTGTTTATATAGTCTTTTAAAACGTGAAAACGTGAAATATGTAGGCCTATCTCCTAGACGTGCATGTTGAGAACAGCCTTAAAATAAAAATTATCAAAAAAAGATTAGATCATTTATATCATTTAAGACAAACATAATGATAATTTTCCTTAACTGGGAAGCGACTAGCTGACTATTGTTTGTACAGTACATGCAATTTGTTTCTGCATAAAAATGTAAAAAATAGTTGTTAGGGAATTATTTCACATGAAGGTGTTATTTTCAAATTGCATCTTTTTTGGGGTCCCTTTTTTTGTAATATGCAGTAGGTTTGTTTCATGGCAGCAAGGAACTAGGATGGTCCTTGTTCAAGTCAATGAACATTTATTGTGAAATACGGTGTGGTTTTTAAATATATGGGGTTATCACGTATTATTAAATAGTGAATCGTAAGCCTTGCTGTAGTAACACTTCGTGTGTATATTCCTTTGAATACGAGTAGCTTAAAGTACACCAAATAATACAAATAATAATAATTTATAATGGTAATAAAATAGTAATTCAAATATTTAACAAATGTAAAAAAATCGCAGAAATTTTTAAATCAATTCATCAATTAAAAACCACATTAAAATTCCGAACCAATTGGGTGATAATATTTTGTAAGACAAAGAAAGA